AACACTGAGCGCTGGTCCCTCGGCAGACGACCCTGAACCGGCGACGCGGCACCATCTTTCTCGTAAGTTCCGCGCATTTATTCCTCTTTTTACACCTCGACGGGTTTTCTAGAATGGTGGAAGTGATGCGTATTTCACATTCCTATAACGAGCTCTGTGTTTAGTGGGAATTTAGGGGCGAGGCGAGTCGTTTTTTCAGGCGTAAAAGGGAAAGGCAGAGGGCGATGCGCGAAGCCGGTCGAGTTCCTATGGACATTTTGGTGGCTCGTTTTGGCTCGTTTTCCGGGGAATTTTTTCGCTTTTCGCCCTCTAGGAACGCCCATAACGCCTACACGCTCGCGGATCCTCTTGGGCATTACACTTGGATACTGAAGGATTCATTAATTGTGTAATTTTAAGGACAGACGACGGAAAAATACCACAAAGTACCACATTGAGCACGTCCCCGAAAAAAGTACAAAAAAAAAAAAAAAAAAAAAAAAAAATGCCTGTGACTTTAATATTTACTTTATTATAATCGCAAGTTCCTCCTTTCGTCTACATTTTGGACCATTTTCAACCTCTTAAAAACCGCCCAATAAATTTCCAGCCAGTAGGCCTATCAACCTCAAGGAACACGACATAGGCCTATAATAAAAAAAAAAAAAACTTTCTCAATTTTTAATTATTAGCCTTAATTTCTCAAAATCCTCTTTATGTTGGTCGGAAATTGAGTACATTTTGATAAGATAAAGAATAGGTGGTTGCTGAAGGTCACGGGGAAGCTGCATGACCTAGTTATGAACAAGGGAAACCTTTTGCATGTTAATTGTTCAGTTTTGTTCTTTAATTATTGTTACTGTTAATACTGTTAATTATTGTTCAGTTTTGTTCTTTATCCTATGAAGGCAGGTGACTAATGATGGGTTTTAAGGAGGGGGGGGACAGGGTCTTGAATGTTACCTGTATAGGCTATAGTGAATAAGATTCTAAATTGGCATCTTTGTGTGATCATAATCATCAGTAATTGGTTACAGGGAGATTGCACCCTATGAGACTAGTTCCCTATTGTACCAGCAAAATTATTGTATCTTTCTATTCCCACATATTTTTGATAATTCTCTAAAATATGGAGGTGCTTACCAAGTCCCCCATTCTGTTGCAAAATTTATTCAAGAATCTAAGTTGCTGTTACTGGGCATTGTCCGAGGGAGTGAGTTAGGGTGGTGGTGGTGGTGGGGGGGGGTCTGGCAAACCTTGATCTATAGGCAAATTTGATATAGTCTCCCTTCCTCCACTTACCCAATTACACAAAATGATTTACCTGATCATTGTGTTAAGGCATGGACATATGAAGAAATCTTTCTGTGAATGAACAGGATTACAGTATAAAAAGACTTTATCAGTGGCAAAAGATGCTGCAAATCAGAAACTAAGGGAGACACAGGACAGAGAAGACAGAAGATCAACCCTTCATGTTCTAAGTCCCCATCCATGTTTACTTTGCGAGGACCAAAACAGTCTAATATCATTTCTCATAAATTCGAGGCTGCTGCGGCTGTACCTGTGTTTATTACATTATTATTTATACTCTTAAGATGGCAGTGTGTCTATATCTGTGCATTGCTCTTGGTAACATTAACTGTTTTGTAAGTTCAGCATCTGTTTTTCTGTATTCATATATGTAATGCATACTTCTGCTACATTTTACAGAATTACCAATTGCATTGGTAATTATTTGCATTATTCTGTACAATAGCCTTGTGTGCTTGCGCATTTTGCCACCGGGAGGTTTAACAAGCCATGCGACGTGCATCAGCCCATAGATTTTCAAAGATGTTGGGGATGTCTGTAGAGTTTGATCAGCTGATTTTAAACTTTTTTTTTTTTTCTTTTTTTTTTCCCAAACATTTCTGTACTGTTCTTATTTCAGCCTGTTTTACCCCATAATTTCCCTGATCTACTTCATGCCCTCCCCTGCTACCGGGACTTATCAAATCTAGATTGAGAATGCAAATGATCATCAGATTTGTTCTTATCACACGAGAATAAATCTGATGATATAAATATTGTTAGGGGAGACCCAATTGTCGTCAAATAATTAAATGCCTCTTGTCCCCAAGATTAATCTTACCAAGGTTGACAGAGATAAAGGAAATGGACACTGCCATCTTCTAGAGCATAAGAAGTAGTTGTAAATAACTCAAGTACAGGTACCAATTAAAGCAAGGGGTACCAAAGGAGTTTTGCCTGCCCCACCCCTATCTAGTGAATCAATTGAAAGTAGAAAAGGTTAGGTTTGGATTTTAGGGTTTGCATAATGCCCCAAATGTTTAGGCATGTGTAAAGTTATTTAAAATCTACTTATAAAAAATGGCTTTGGGGGACTCTCTCTCTGGAGTGTGCATTGCTCTTGCAAACAGTACCCAATCCCTGATGATGCGGATGCACACACAGGAGGTAGATCGTGTGACCTGAATCTTGAGGTCTATAAATTAGTGCATTGACTTTGTTTGGAAGAGCTTGTGTACTCAACATAAGGGTTCTTCTGAATTAATATAGTTTAAAGGTACAAATATGAAAACAGGTATGATATAGTGCATAGAATCCTGTAAAAACACCCCCATCCTCTTATCTTATCTTTTCTACTTGTGACTGAATATAGTAAATACGAAATTGGAAGTATCAAAATGTATGGCATGTTTACACCAAAGCCCCATCATTACTTTATCCTTGGTACCTCCTAGTCTATCTGTTGTGAATGAATGTTGTAGGTATGAAATGTAAATTCTTGTGGTTTATGCCCTTTGCTTTATGTTACTAAATGATGATAATATGACTATTAACCCATTGCTGCCGGGGAAAATGAACAAAAAATGGGGAAAACACTGTACTCATTTTTTATATTTTTATGAAATATCTCTGTCCATAGATGGCTCTGCTGATTTCACCTTTACTTAAATTGGCGGGAAGAAATGTATTCTTACTAGTGCTATAAATATAGATGGTGTTATTTTCAACAGCAAATTAGGATAACGTTAAATATTTTCATAAATCGATGAAAAGGCAGTTCTCGTAATTGGCTCATTGGTGTAAAAACAATCAAGCAAGTCGACTCACAGTGGGCATGGCATGTACGTACATGCCATCCCCGGCGGCAATGGGTTAAAATTCCGATATTTGTGTTGTGGTTTACTTGTCCATAGATATTTCTTCCTTTTCCTCCCTTTCCCTCTCCCTCTCCCTCTCCCTCTCTCCCTCCCTCTCTCCCTCTTTTGTTATGTGACCAGTTTGCTGTTATGGTGCAGTGGCAGTAGGAATAAGAGTGAGAATCTGTTTCAACATTGGCAGTTGTATTATTTCTAGTTCGTTATTTCTTCTCGTTCTGTTCCACATGTTAGGTTACCTCACTCAAAAAATATCTTGTGCAAAAGAGGGAAAACAAGGTAATAGAAACCCTAATATTTGTGAGATACACAGAACAAAAAATTATATTTTGAAACCTTTCCCCCTTCCCCTTCCTAATTTCTTCATCTGTTAGAAATGATTTTGATGGGACTTGTATGCCCCTTGTAAAATAATTCCTATGTAAGTTTGAAGTTTGGACTTACTCTCTATGTACCTGTCTTTGTTTCAAATGAAATGAAGCTGCTAAAGGTTGACTCCCAATCAGTTCTTAACTAATAATAAATTGACAGACCTTCAGGCTCTTGCCAGGAAATGTTGGATTTTTGGTCACAGGTGTGCCAGGGGACAGAGGGCACTTGTAAACTAGATGGCCTGTCGTTGGTTTATTCATATTGAATGAAATACACAATTTACTGCAGAGGTGACATGGGCTTTGAATTTTTTTTCTTGTAGTTCAGGTCCTGTTATTCTGTGCATGTCTGGTTTTGCTGAAGGTGTATGCAATCCAATCTCTGTTTATTGATTCCATGGATATCAGCCAATGCAAAGAATGAAAGATGATTATCTTTCATCCTTTGCATTGGCTGATATCCATGGAATCTAGTTATGTAAGTAGAAATTACTCTTATCATTCAGTTGATATAACGTCAAAACCTCTCTATAGTAAGAATTTGTTGATGAAAATATGACCAAATATCCCATGTTGTTTATAGACCAGAGGTGGTTGATCCAATGCCACAACTTGTAAAATTAGTTGGTCAGGCATGGTCAATAAAAGTTGAAAGTCCATTGGGCTCTAAGTAGGTCATTGCTGTATACCTTTTCTCCATGGAGTAGATGAACTGAATTAGGCTGTTGGAATACTGTCTATTGATGGGTAAATAACTATAACAGGAACTTTTGATTTACTCCTAGGTAGGAAAACTTGTGTTTAGATTTGTTTTATGTATAAAGGTAATAATTTAGAATCAGACCATTATCAGTTGGGAAAATTATAACTGGTTAAACATTTTAAGTTGAAATGTATGTTTATTGGAATTGTATGGGTATCCTGAGTTTTTCTTTGTTTTGGTGTTTTAATAAGGTTAGGCAAAGAAGTGCATTACAGAGAAGATAGTTGCCAAAATAACCTTGATTCTTTTTTTCTTTTATTTCTGACTGTTTTTCTTGATCATTGACATTTTGTAAACCTTTTCTAATTGTTAGCATTAACCAATGATTTTACTTTCGCATTACAGGGTTTCACAGATTTATAAAATAAGAATAGACTGAACAGGTTATTTTAGTTCACATATTTATGTTGATGGACTACTTAATAGATTATCATCAAATAGTTACCAAGTGTCCACATGTATTTTGAATATTCTTTAAATAGAATGTATTTCTCAGTCTCATTCTTGTGTTTCAGAATCAAAATGTTCAGCAGCCTCTGGGAAACCGCAAAGAACTCGCCGTTCAGTCGGCCTCTTGAAGCTCAGTGTGATGCCCCCAACAAGGAGCTTGTAGCTGGGAGAAACATTGCTGCTGCTGATGCTCGTAAGATTAGAATGACTTTGGAAAGAGTTCAGATTAGTTGGGTGGGAACTTGGCTTGATATGTAGGAAACTGAGATGAGTGTGAGGCTTTTTTAATACCAATCATTACTTTGTGGAAGGTGGAAAGAGAGAAAGAGCAAGCTAATTTCTTACCTAATTACTTTGCAATAGGTTATTTGAAGTGTGCCATTTGATAAAAAAAAATATATATATAATACATACATTAGAGAGAGATGAATATTCCAAGAGGTTCATCATGGTTTCATATATCAAAGTAATTGCTGGTTTAGGTTAATCTGAATATTTTTAGAAATATGTATAAGAGAGACTTCATAGGTTTATACCATTTCTCATTAACATTTTTTATTTTGTCTTTATCCTCATCGACAGAGTACAGCTGTGAGTATGGCTCAAACAAATACTATGCCCTCTGTGGCTTTGGTGGCCTGCTCAGCTGTGGTATCACACATACAGCTGTTGTCCCCCTTGATTTGGTCAAGTGCAGGATCCAGGTAGATCCTGAAAAGTACAAAGGCATCTTCAATGGCTTCAAGGTAAAGTTAACCTCCTTGCTTTAGATTTTCTTTTTAATGATAGCTGTTAACTCATTGGATCTAGGTGCCTTGTGGCCTGCATATATATATATATCTTACATTCTGGGCATTTGGCTTACTTGAGCGGCCACACTCCTGGGTGTGTGGCTTGTAGGCCTGGTTTCTTTCCTGTTTCCTTATTTATATTTGTCATTTGATATGCTTTATCAAGATAATTGTGTTTCCTTGCACAGACTTGAATCATCTCAAGGTAGTTTATATCTGTGCAATAACAAAAACAATAAGAGTAATATTTTGTGTGTATCATTAAAAATAATTTTTAAAAAATTTTTCTGTAATGTCCTGTGCTGCATTGACATGGAGATCAGGAATAGGAATCGTGAACATTTAAATGGTTTCCTCCCTGGAGCCAGCATTCTATCAGTCATGGCTTGCACATGATACATTCCACCCTCATCTGGTGGTGAAAATAATCTACATGCCCATTCCTAAACGTCTGCTGATTCTAAACTTCCTCCAAGAGCTTTGCACTCATGGCTAGTCATTCACATCACCCCAGTTTTCAGCTGCAATTTTCATAATGGCATATTCCTGTTACCTTGGCCCACAGCCAGATTTTTCTACAACAGCATATGGCTGTCACCTGGATCCAAGGGGTTAAAAAGACTGATGGTGCTATCCTTGTGTTATGTTTAATAGCTGTCTTATGATTGATAGTGGCAGAAGATTTGAAATACTGTTTGTTATATATTTCTTTAGTCCCCTAAAGAAATCTTAATTTACAAAACACTCAAATATTGATCTATTTCTTTGTAGTTCTTTATGAAATTTTTGCTTCATGTCTTCTATACTTTTCACAGGTATCCGTCAGGGAAGATGGTGTCCGAGGTCTGGCCAAGGGATGGGCACCCACAGCCATTGGGTACTCTATGCAGGGTATCTGCAAGTTTGGTTTCTATGAATTGTTCAAGATTTTTTACGGCAACTTGATTGGTGAGGAGAATTCCTACCTCTACCGCACATCCCTGTACCTTGCTGCTTCTGCCTCAGCCGAGTTCTTCGCTGATATTGCCCTGTCACCCATGGAGGCCTGCAAGGTATGGCACATGACAGGATGGTTGTCATAGTTTGAAGAAGTTTTAAGCTTAGAGTGAGATTAGTTTCCTGTGATATTTTAAGACTGTCAAAACTTCAAGTTTAAGCATTTTTACATTTTATAATAATAAAACTGGGTATGGATGTTGTGCAACAACTAATACATTTATATTGCAAATGGGAGAATAACCACTGTAATTAAAAATTTCAGGTGCGTATCCAGACCCAGCCTGGCTTTGCCTCAACTCTTCGTGCTGGTGCTCCCATCATCTATGCACAGGAAGGCCTGTGGGGCTTCTACAAGGGCGTGGTCCCCCTCTGGTGCAGACAGATCCCTTACACAATGATGAAGTTTGCCTGCTTTGAGCGTACCCTGGAGGCCCTGTACATGTATGTGGTGCCCAAGCCCCGTGACCAGTGCACCAAGAACGAACAGTTGGTTGTCACCTTTGCTGCTGGTTACATTGCTGGTGTGTTCTGTGCCATCGTCTCCCACCCTGCCGACACCATCGTCTCCAAGCTGAACCAGGATAAGGGATCCACAGCTATGGGTGTTGCAAAGAAGCTTGGCATGGCAGGTAAGATAATCGCAAGAAAATGTTATTGTAGTGCATATAATTAGTCATGGAAGATAAAAGATTTTGATTTGTAAATATTTCATCTGCTTGTTCTTTGAGGTTTTGTGCTTGAGAACTACCTAAATTAAGAGCCACTGTGAATATTTAAAAATATTTTCTTGTGGTCACCAGGTTTGTGGAAGGGACTCTTCCCACGTATCATCATGATTGGTACCCTGACGGCCCTGCAATGGTTCATCTATGATGCCGTCAAGGTCACCCTCAACCTCCCACGTCCTCCTCCACCAGAAATGCCAGAGTCCCTCAAGAAGAAGTTGGAGGCTAAGCAAGCGTAAAAATAACATTCTAGATTCTTTGCGGAACTCCAAGCACATTGCATCAACCTTAGCCCTCAGTTAATTCTATAAATTATAAATTAAGATATCACCAGCTTTTAAGAATTTCACAGAAAGAATTATCAGTATTTGTTTTGCAAAATTTTTTACTGAGGCTTAGGTGGCAGTGGTATATTTCTTTAATAATGTTAACACGGCAAAGTTGCACCTTGGCCTGTGTGCTGCTGGTGTTGTTTGTTGCCTTTGTTGGAATGTGCTACGGTGTGGTAAAACCATCATTACTTCCCCTGTAGCATAATCCATGAAGGTTTTAGTAACAAATACTGTGTTTTTTTTCATGTATGTCCGACTGGTAGGAAAATTTTGAAATTTATCTTTATTTTTATCCCAACTATTTATGAATGTTTTGGAAAATGGCTGATGTATATAGTAACTCTTCATTGTATAAAATACATTAAACACAGTAAATGACAGAATCCTTTATTTCCCTAATATTTTTTTCATACTTCATTCTTACCAGATTCCACAATATTGCCTGAAGGATGGGGAAAAAGAAATGTTGAATTTTCACTTCCTTTAATATATATCCTATTACACTTTAGAAAAGTTTTCTTGTGTCAATAAATATTTAATAAATTTCTTGCTAAGAGTCAAAATGAAAATGTAAAATACTGAATGATCATGTTCACTTGGGCGCATGATTGATGCATACCAATTGTAGTAATTGAAAGCCTTACAGAATTTCAGTTTGCTAACTACATGGAATCGTATACAATCAAATATTTAGTGCTATAATGTCTATGGAACACGACCAATAAAACTATTGTTTGGAATAGTGTAAGTCCATATATAACTGTCATTAACCAAATCGTCCTTCCTAAAAACGAGTCCTATTTTCTTTGAATTATACTGATTTTGAAATCAGTATAATTCAGTAAACGAATTGTAATAAATTCGGAAAGTAATGAAAATTCTACTTGCTAATGGAAAAATATAAACTTAACCCATAAAAATATTTTTTGAGCCAGCAGTAATAATTTACTTTTTTTTTTAATGAACACCACTTCCTTAGACTATTATACAGAAAATCTGGGTCACAAGAGGAAAACCGCTGAATAAATTATATTGCTGAATGCTGTCAACTTGTCTACAGTACAAAGAATATATTAGATATGAATTAGCCTCATTTTTGCACTTTGTTTAATAACCAAGTACATGTAAGAAAAAAAAATAGTATCAAACACCTTTTTAAAATGCGTTTATCAATATAAATATTTTCCTGTTTTAATAAATTAATCTAACCTAAATAAAAGTGAAACTTTCCAACATAGATGATAATTTTCACACAAATGAAGAAAAATTAAGACCGGGCGATTCAAACAAGGAACCATCCATAATTCAGTTCCTTAACTGATTCATTTCAGAAACGAAACCTAAAACTTCAACGAAAATCAAACTCGCTACCAAGCAAGCATAAATTTGTGCGTCATATACAATATCTCCTAATCTTAACTACCACTGAATAACAAACTATATCAAGCAATCTGACGACTTGTTTCAGAAGACAGACGAATTCTGCTTTCGGAATTGGATGATTCACTCGTCGCTGTCACTCTCCATTTCGGGAAGGAAATAGTCTAGCCTGTTGAGTTAAAAAGGTGGTCGTTATGGAACAGTTGTCATGAAAAAAGTTGTATAGCATTTACTCTGCAGCATTACTTTTTAAATGTTATTTCGTTTACTGAATGACTTGAAAAATTATTTACAAATCACATACTGCCTATATATATATATCTTTGATTTCATAGCAAATTAAAGACTAATTTTATACAAATGATACACATTTACTCATACTATTTACTCACTCACCTCACAGGGGATCGCGGAGGAGTTAGAAAATGACTATCTGTGTCCATTTCGGCAAACTCCCTGTAAAAATGAAAACTTAGAATTATAGAATGGCATGGCACATATAACCATGTAGTCCCACTTCAACTTGATGAAAATCCTAGTTGGTAACTACCGAGTATTACTCAGTGTGAATATTAGATACTTCTATTTTTTTTTCCCTTGATTTCTTTTTTGATATTTTACCATTGTTATAACTGAACCATTTTCAAATAAAAAAGAAAAACTGATACATAATTATTGGTATAACTTATTGATATTTTGAGCATCATCAAAAATAAAGAAAATCCCTTTTATTTATAACAATGAAGGAAAAAAACAATTTCATTTGGCTTAATGGAAATGAAGCTACCTGGTTATATTTACCTTAATATAATGGGTTTAAATAAAGATTGGCTAAATCGACTATAAATGCTAAACTTTGCAGAACAATGGCATAATATATCACTGAACATCAAGGCTTTTAACAAACCTGGCTAAACTGCGCTTGCATGTTGGAGTTCGTCTTCGGGACACCCGGATGCTTAACTTTCGTGGTGCTTGGATGTGCACCATGATGAAATTAGCATCAGGAGTGACAGCTTTGTAATCCGAACCACAAAGCGGGGATATTTTTTGGCCTGACCCTTCTTCTGCTTCACAGACAAGTGGGTTTCTTGAAGGTCCGGGTTCAGAAGACGAAGTTCGAGTCGATAGTCGTTTTGGTGTGACATCTTGATAGCTTGAGCTAGGCACAGGAGACATGATCTGAGCCAGTATTCCTCTCGGAGTACCAACTTGGCACCCCGATGGCCCAGGTACCGCAGGAATCACCAGTTTTTGCTTTGGTATATATCCAAGGCAGCCAGGTGAGTGACGCACAGGCGAGACTTCAGCAAGTTTTCCTTCCGGTGTAACCGCCTGGCTGATCATCGCTCTGGATTCTCGAGAAAAAGGTGTTTCTGCTTGCACATCCTGATACCTTGATGATGGCGCAGGGGTGGAAGTAGTAAGCCGTAAGTTGGTTGACGAATGTTTCCTGTTGCTATCTAATGGTCCAAGTAATTGGGAAGACCAAAGATTTGCTTTCTTGTTGGACGGCAATGGGGCTTCACCAGCACCTGGCATGCCCAACAATTTATCTTGGAAACTAATGGAAGAGACAACAATCGATCCTGCATTATGTTGAGTCTCAACTGGAGATTCACTTGTATTATAAAGTTGAGAGCTGGGAATCTTTTTTATACAGCTGAAGGGTCCAAGCTGGTCGATCATGAAACTGCATTGTTGCTGAAAATCAACGCTTTCTGTCCCATTCTTCGGTATCTGTATATGGCTATCATGGGATCCAGTTCTCGGCGAGTCTCGAGTCAAGATACGCTCACTTTCTTTTGCTGATTTGTTAGCGTCTGGCTCTCCTCTTTGGCGGCCATCCCTCCTCGCCTGAATAGCAATGTCATTTAAGAAAGGACTTGACTTGCATGCCACCTGTGCTTCATGGCGGACCGAGTCAGATGACGGCGCAAAAGCCTTGCCGTCAACTAGGTCTCGAAATCGCCTTGGATTCTGTGGAGAAGCCTCGTGACGGGATGACTTCTCTGCTTTCACTGTGACCGCGGAGGCTGCCTCGTCCGAAGAAGCAGACGAACTCTTCAGCGCACTCAGCGGAGTCATCGACAGGCGGGCCGAACAGTGCGTCGGAAGAGGAAGGAGCTCCTGAATGATGCAGGGGTCGAAATCCGGCCGAAGTCGGAGCCTTTTGCTCGGTGGCAGCGAACCCCCAGGGTCTGCCGAGGCTATCTTTGGGGGCTGCCTCGGGGTGCGGCGACGGACAGCTGGGGCGTCTGGGCTGGACAGAATATCCACCTCGGGAGAACCTCCGTTAACAGGCTTATCCCTGTGAGGCTGCCATGAATCACATGTAAAAGTGAGACTCTTTTTGCAATTGAACGAACGTGGCTTCCTGCAAATGATAAATGCAACCGTTAATTTCAAATATTCACTGATTCACAAATCTTGTGAAAATAAATGACAAATAATGATAAAATAATGCTCACCTGACACCTGCTGATGAAACACTAGGAGTCTGAGTATCTACTGAAACTGGAGTAGTAACAGGTGTTGACACAAATCTCCCTCTCTTACGCCTAGCAAGTCCGAGTGTGACCATGTGCTGATCCTCCCCATTCTCCTGTCAAAAGAATAAAATGTTGACGGTAATTAAACCGATAATAATGATAATCATATCAAGAAGTACCAGCTAAATGGGAATTATAACCTACATCTCTAGGAACGTTAAACTATACCTTCAACATTAAAACATAAATTAATGCTAATTTACATTCCCATTGCATCCATAAAGAATTACCTTACATTAATTTGGAAGAAAAGAAAGTTAAAAGATTTTCGCATGGAGCAACTTATTCTTATAATGCGGTTTGGAAACATTCTTCAATGACAGGCTAAGCACGTACCAATTTTCCAACTATGGTTACCAAACGCGCGCGCACACACACACAGAGGGAGGAAGGAGGGGAAAAAGGAAGGAAGGAAGGAAGGAAGGAAGGAAGGAAGGGAGGGAGAGAGAATGAGTACAAAGAGTGCGACGGAAGAGAGGGAGAGTTACAATTATTATAAGTATCAGGAATGAATGAACAAAGAAATATTTTTTTTCCTGAAGTTCTTCAATACATATGAAGATCCAGGAAACAAGGCAGATGCAGATGCCCACTGACACCATCACTGCAACCAAGAGTGGTACAGAGATGATACCAACAGCCTCATCTGCTCGTGCTTGCAGTACCGGTGAGGAGTGGCCAAGGAAAACTGGCATGCATGAATCAAGCACCTGAACTAGTAGTCGTCAGGTAGACCACGTTCACTCAATTCTACCTGCATAGCTTCCTCTTCTGCCAGATTCCCCACGGTTCTCGCAACACCCACCGCCTGCGAACTCTTCCGAAGAATTAACCGGATCAAATCAGATTCGACAAAATAAACCCGAAAAAACACACATAAATAACTAAACCGCACATCCCGACTGCAAGAACTGAAAGGGAGAAGCAACTTAGCCAGTAGGAGACCCAAGGACAGTCAAGATCGGTTTCACTTATGCTGCAGGGACTGTAAAAGATCAGGCCATACAAACGAATCCAGCAGAATGAAGCAGAGGTGTGATTTCCATAACAGACCTTGCCATGCGATAGACAACTGGCGGAGTAAATAAAGAGAAGAGGGACAAGCGTATAAAAATAGTGACAAAACCAGCACAGCGGTTTTGCCATTTAGTCTCATTCCATTTTCCATCTTCCAGAATCAAGTGTATCCTAGTGCAGGTACATGCTTTAAACCCAATAGCCATTGCTACCACTAAACAAACTATACAACAACGATGCTGAAATCATGGGGAACGACTAACTAAAGATCATCAGTAACAATATCAGGGATTCCAAATATATATTGGAGACCTTACACACAACTTTCTTATCCTAAATAGAATTGATGTGGTTGCCACTGTTAAAACATCTTTAAATGAAAGTTCCCCCCAAAACTATGAACAAATCAGTGGTTTATCTCACTGGCACCGCAG